GAGAGAGATTAAGTCGAGCAGCCTGGAGGGAATCATGAGATGTGATGTTTTCTGATAAGGAATGTGCCTGCCGGCCGTGTGCTGTTCAAGAAGAGACTTGGAAAATACTCTAGTGAGGAGTGGACGTTGGCGGTGTGGAAGACCCAGTTTTTTGAGAAACTCAGGAGTTGCCGTGGAAGGGAATGTTAGTTGGTGGCGCGGTTTTCGGGACGGAAGACATCTGGATTGTAATAGATGTTATAAATGTAACTCTATGCAACTTTTGCCAGCTTTGACACATAACACCAAACCCAATGGAACTTCAACCCAGGGGTGTTTCCCTGGCAATATCCTTTGCGCCCTGGCACTTCCGTCTCAAGTGGACTAGCAATCTCTCAAGTTTAGCTGGTTCACTGCTTTCCTTGGCTCTCCTGCACACCTTAATACCTTCCTTTCAATCCTCTTCACTACTCTCTGCACCTCTATAATCACTCCAAAACCATCAATCAACTTCCTCTGCATCAATTGCTACACTCTCTTCATTTCCCACTATAATATACTGATTCTGTTACAAACCCACAGTTGTGTAAGTAACGCAGCTTGCATAAGTGCCCGCCCAGCAAGCGTGCCGAGCCTAGGGAAACCCCCCCCCCCCGGTAAGTAAATTGGCGCAATATTCCCAAGGGTGCTAGGCCGAAAGCGGCTGACTCTTGCAAGTCCCACAAGTTAGAGACGGTAATTTTGGAAACTTACCGTGACAAACCCTCCGCTAAGAGTTAATGCCCACCCAAAAACTGTGACAAACGCCACAAACTTTCCTGCCCAAGTCCCTCACGAAGCCCCACCAAAGTCCTCCAATTAACGGTCAGAAGTTTTACTAACCTTTGGAATGTTTGATACAACACTTAGTCGTGGGAGAAGCGTGGCCTATGGACTAAGTAGGGCTAGGGCCTAGGGACTCGAATACTTAATTGGGTCTGGACTAAGTGGTTGAAGTGGCGGGTGTGTGCGGGCTGCGAGAAGAAGAGAACATGTGAAGACAGAGAGAAAGTGACAACATGTTACTGTAGCTACTTGTGGTGAGCTCTCCAGCTGGTTTGTGTGTGTGCCTTCCTTGTGTAGAATTGTGTAGTCTGTTTACGACTGTGCATGTGTACATGTGCTCTTGTTGGTGCAGAAAGATATTGTGTGTCTTCTAAAGTTTGTTTATGCGTTCGTTCTTTATACATCCCTAGTGTGTTACGAGTGAAGAAGCACTGTTTTTTACGTGCTTCATGATATATATGTATGTATTATAGACTCGGTACATATACCAATAGTGGCTGTTTATGATGTTGTGTATCGTCGAAAGTTCAATCTGTAGTTCATCCTTCATAAACCCCTTCATGTGTGTGGAAGTTGTGACCACTGTTTGGTACATGCTGCATACGTGTATATATACATACACTGTGTGTACATACAATGGCTATTTTATCAGTTTACGTTCTATTTGCAAATGTTTTTTTCTCCCATCTTATGCCACATGTATATATAGATCGACTTCAACGTCCAAGTCGATAAAGGAGCGCAGAGCGTTCAGTACCGAGTCGATTCAACAGACGAAACAGAAGTACAGCCCCGTCCTGGCTCTTCGCGACGCCGTCCGTGCAGAGAGAGAGGCCATGTCACAGAGCGTCGAGGTCTCAATCCTCAGCGAAAAAGCCGCCGCGATCCTCGGGATCGCCCCGCCCAAGCACTACAAGCGGGCGAGTATGTACGACCCGCTCCACGAGCGAAGATCGGGGGACACGGACATGCCCACCGTCCACTCGATGCCTCCGAGGTCAAATTCCTACCACCCTGGGCTAAGGAGAGGAAAGGCCATCGATAGAGGAGTGGTGAGTTATACACATGTGGCAGATAAAACTAAAATACTGTAAAATTGCGACAGAGAAAACGTTATTTGCAGTTCGTTAGCTGTATGTAAGAGTTTTATAAGAAATCTTGGGCAAGAAAGTTGTATATATGTAGGACCAGCGATCTGTTAAATTTGAGTTTCTACCAGCAAATACTCTTCAGTTCTTCTTACCAACACTTCCTCTCCACCTGGCAGTAGCATTATTGGAGTAGCCCTGAAATGCAGGTAGCATCAATTAAAGAGCCCTTACCTACAATTGAACTCACTTAGTGGTTTACTGTCATATGCCATACACACCTTGATTGGCCCCTTCCTTGGCCCTGGTCTGTGAGACTGGGAAGAGTTGTTGAGCAAGAATGCTCACCTGCCCTCTGCCCCTCCTGGCTCTCAGGTTCTCAGGCTCTCAGGCTCTAGTCTAAGTCACAATTCCTTGTACTAGCTTACACCTTTGCCCCTGCAACTTGATGAGTTGTTGAGTAAGAAGTTAGGACCACCCCTCCCTCCCCTTGGCCCACTCCTGGCACCAGGTTCTTTCCTGTGTGAAAAAGTCTCTGGGCCATAATATTGTAATCTAGTCTTCTCATTTCTCCTCCTAGTTCTCCAGAGAGCTGTTGAAGAGTGCCAAAAAGCCACCTGTCTCTCCATCTCCATACTATAAAGCTCACAAGTTCAAGGTAGGAAATGCTCTTCTATTATTAGCATACTGCATACTCACTACCCCTTATGTTAGACTGATATGCCACTCTAGGAGTAATTAGTGAGTCCTAATTCAGTGGAACCTCTCTAATAGTGGACACTCTTTAGAGTATAGTGTCTCTATATAGAATGTATGACTAAATAGAGGACACCTGTTTGTTCCACTGTGGCACACGTCCAGTGTGTTTTGATAGCCGTATTTGATTTCAAACACCTACACATTCTCCAACTGATTTGCATATTTATAGTGAATTTTCGAGTACAACGCAGTGTTTATCGCTGTTTTTCACTTTACACACGTGCACACACACACACACAACACACACACACACAGCCATTGACGTACGTCCATCCGACCTGGTGCGTCATTTGCCACCATTTCTTGTGGGGACTCAAGATGCAGGGTCTCCGTTGTCAAGACTGCGGGATTGACATTCACAGACAATGCTGCGCCGTGTCCATAGACCATGAGTGCAACCCTACAAAGTAAGTCGACTTGTTTAAATATCACCACAGCTCTTTCATCGCACACACCCAAACCCATACTTAAAACGTTCCAGGAATAAAAAATTTGAGCAATCGAAAACTTTACGAACAAAACTTTCACCTGATTATTGTCTGTTGAAAGATACTTTGTTTCTGAGCTGATGGTCGTACGATGTATATATAATGCTGGACTAGTAACTATAAATTCTGTTTTTTTGCAGGAAGATTGTGAAGCGCTATGTTTGGCGTTGATCTAACGACTCGTGTGAAGGCAGAAGACGCCGCAATACCAAGTCTACTGCAGCAGTGCATCGCACACATTGAGAACTGCAGTAAGTATCAATAACATCACCCTGGCAACCACACTGATACACATGTACATAGGCAGTGCCACTGTCAGGCATAAAATATAGCAGTTACGACAACAAAATTAGATTTTTGGAATTGTAGTGCAGCATAATTTGCAGGTAGTTTAGACACTAGCTTTCAAAAAAATTGTCAAAAATCCTGCAAAAAAGTATCTACTTTTTTCTCGTTTTTCTCTCAGCAGATCTCGAGGAGCAGGGAATGTACAGAGTATCTGGACTGACTAGCGAGATTTTGGAGCTGAAGGAGCGATTTGACAGCGGCGATAAGGTCGACTTCTCTCGCTACACAGACATCAGCGTGGTGTGCGGGCCGTCAAGCTGTACCTCCGAGAGCTCCCCATCCCCGTCGTTTCATTTGACGCCTACAACGAAGTCATGAAAGCAACCTGTAAGCAACGTAGAACCTTACACTCATATTTCCGTGGTTCTTTTATTAAAGAATATTAAAACAAAGTTCTTGGTACGTGTATGTATGTAATTGCCTCTAACCATTAAAATGTCTTGAAGGGTGAGAAAGTAAGCAAAAAAACTTCTTGTTGAGGAAAAAAAACTGTCCTTCATTTGGCCTCTCGTTTAAAGTAAACTATGTGGTAGCAAATTAAAACTATCATATTCTTCACTACAGCCCTGGCCCTAGAAATGAGTATTTAGAGTACAGCATACACTGACTGGCCACACAGTTTGTATAGAGAGGTAGAGATAGGAGACTTGTGGGGGAGAAGCAGAAAGATCGTGACATTTTTCGTTGACCTTATTCCAGGTTGTGTGGAGGACCTGCGTGCGGAAGACGTGGACTGGTCGTCACTGGCGAATGCACTGAAACTGCTGCCCAAGGCACACTACAACACACTCAAGTACTTGGCCGAACACTTGCATAGGTTGGTGTGTGCTTGTGTGTGTGTCATGCGTGCATGTGTGTGTATTGTACAACTAACACGATGTGTAAAGTTTATACCGCAAGTTGTATGCTATGCAATGAATCACCTTTTCTGTTGATCGAAAATACTCTCCCACACAACCAATGCATTGGCAATCTATGACCATAAATGTACTTATTGGCATAGACAGGTATAGTAGTACGTTCAACGTGCATTGTCACCGCATAGCCTATTAACAAAGCGCTCATCGTAAAATCATCTTCTCGTTCCCCTCTCTCTACCCCTCAGAGTCGACGAGAAAAGCAGTGTCAACAAGATGTCTGCCTACAATCTGTCGGTGGTGTTTGCCCCCACGCTAATGAGACCACCCTCCGAAGAACTCTCACTTGTCAAAGACATTCCTCTCCAGAGACATTTCGTCGAGATTCTCATCCTAAAACATGAAATTCTCTTCGCTTGATTTATTCTTCACTTTTGTGTATCAATGTTTTGTGTTGTAAAGTCATGTTGTCCCACTGATCATGTGACATAAGACACACGATGTCATGTGATATTACACTGAAATCATGGCCTCATTATGACATCACCCTAATAATGTATTGTCCTTATTGCTTATCATGTGATTGTTGCTTTGTGTATTGTCGTATTATTATGTTCACTGTTTTGACCTGCAAATTGTGTCTGGTAAAGCAAATACTGCGCATGCGCATAATAACAGCGCGCGTGCGTGCGCATATTACGTCATTATACAAAATGGCGTACCACCGCGGACGATAGGTGTTTTATCGGCAGTTCTGAACAGTTTTATGGTAGTAGTGTGTAGGCTAGTAGTAATGAGTGGTGTGTAGATAGGCGGGAAGACGGTCAGCGGGAGTTCTGTGAGGAGAAAACCGACTGAAGAGCGGCCGTTGCCGACTTCTGTCCTGCGCCTTTCACGCTGAGATGGGTAAGCTTTTCGTAGCCTGGGAGGGAGCGCGGGCGTGTTAGAGAGGCCCGGGTAATGTCCTGATGCACTGTCACCGTTCTTTTCCGCGACGGCGAAATTTCCCTTGATCTCGATTCTAATTAGCGCCCACGTGGCCATGTGACATGCCACCTTGGCGTTCTACTGCTGAATGGATGGGTGTTAATTCATGTGTTTTTTTGTTTCAGGCTTATTCTGAATCCATCTGATCTATGCACTTATCGATTTACAGGTAAGTCTGCATTTGTAATACCTGACACGTCTTATTTTATGTACGCACTCTCGCAGATTTTGTTTTTCGTCTACGTATAAAACTAGAGTTTGACTACCTCTGTGTGTCTGGAGATTTTTGAGCTACTCTTCCATTTATAGCCCACCGCACAACACTCGTCACTCCGCCACACACACACACACATCAATCTCTGAACTGGTCCTTCACGACAATTCCGTTGTTCACAGCATCAGCGCCAAATTCATCCGTTTTGCCATCGCATATCCGTCGGTACTTCTGACCTTTTTGCGTCGGCTACACGCACACCAAAGGTCTGGTACGCACAGACAGACACAGCAGATCAGTGTCACAACTCAACCGTTCAACAGTAAACTCTCTCTTCGTCTCTCGTTCATCCAAAGGAAAAGGCGTCTTGAAACGCACTCTTTCCGAATAACACTTCACCTGTCCTTGCCGCTCATCGGCTGACCTTTTCACGCAGTTGTGGTTCCTATCCTGTGCCTCCATTCTCCTCTTCCTTGACGAATTTCGTACACACACGCATACGTATTCGTGTACAAGTGTCAGTTTAACACACACGCAAGTGGAAAGGTAGTCAGTTGTTGTCTGGTGTGGCCGTGACGAGTGATGGAAGGTGCAGCCATTTTGTCTTCGCTGGCAGCGGCACAGTCTCCACCTCGTGCGGTGGGGGAAGTGGTTGGGATTACTGCCAGCGTCCCTCCTGACCTACCCTCCACCGACCCCAGTTCTCAGGTGAGATAGGGGGAGGAGTGGAGGGAGGGGAGATCGTGAGTGGAGTAAGCAGAAAGCTAGATATGAAACTTGTGCATCAAAATGTGGTATAGAATCATTATACGTACACGAAGTTTGGTTCATTTGAACATTGTTGCTCTCCATCTTTTCTCTGACAGAGGAAAATAACCCTTTTAACTCGGCCACCTGCGCCGTCCGTAGCAAACAGTGTGGCTTCGTCCAGCAACCCCACTGTGGCTTCAATCATCAGCGCCGGAGAGGCAAACCCTCTCATCAGGTCAGCTATTGCCGCGTAAAACTCCTGTGCGGTGGCGAAATTGCGTTTTTCGTAAACAAGTGTGTGGTGTATGGCGAATTTAAGCATGGTTTTTTGATTTTAAACTCCTGTGCGGTAGCGAAATTGTGTTTTTCGTAAACAGTGTGTGGTGTATGGCGAATTTAGGCGTGGTTTTTTGGTTTTGATTGTGGTTTTTGTGTAGTGATCTTCCGAGAAGTGGTGGCAGTGGTGGTCCTTTGCCGGAGATACTTTCTACTCCAGGGAGGGCTGCCAGGAGTGAGTTGGAGGAGGGGAGGGGAGGGGAGAGGGAGAGGGAAAGAGGAGAGAAAAATTGGAAGAATGAGAATAGGGGAGGGGTCAAAAGGAGAGGGGGGAAACGTAAGGTGGGAGGGCCAAAAAATTTAAAAAGTAGTTCTTGTTTGGTGTGTAAGTAAATGACTGGTTGTGCCTGCTGTTCCCTGGCTATAGATGATTACTACGACACAGAAGATCCGTCTGTCAATCTTCACGAGTTTATCGTCAACTCCCTTCAGGCCCAGAAGTAAGACACGCACACACACACACACACACACACATCTTCTTTCATTCCTCTTTTCTTGGAGGGCACCACAAGTTTAACACGACGGCTGCCCCCAGGTTTTTTCACGTGGTGTTTAAAAGTATTGTGATTTTGTGTGACTGCAGAAACAGAGTTGTTCTACTAAAGTTGGAAGAAGAGTTCTTGACTTATGTCACTGATCCTAAAAGGTGCGCACAACTATCGCTCCTATAATGTGTAGTGACTGTATGCTTAGACGGAGCATCTATTTGTCTTTACTTATCATGTACCAAAAGGAGGTTACCAATACTGGACGTTTAATACAGGGAAAATGTTCACCTTCGAATTAATAGGCGCCATAGTGTATTTAAAAAATGCTTATTGCTCTATTCTGCGAGTGTTTATGTTTATTGAATGAATCGTGATGAACGTGTGTCAACAGCACTAACCATAACATGTCACGTATTCACGAGCTGCTGTAGCTGTATACAACATATATACGTACACATACATACACTCCTACCACCACACACTGTGATGTATGTATATGTACTGTGTGCATCGCGCTGTGCTCTGTGGTTGTCTGGTGCAATTGTCAACAACAAAAACACTCCAGACCCCTGCATCCATAACACTTTTGGCTTTTTGATACCAAATGAGAATTTGTGTGACTGCAGAAATAGAGTTGTTCTACTGAAGTTGGAAGAAGAGTTCCAAATGTGAATTTGCAGATAAAAAGTTCACGGTTTGCTTGTCACACAACCAAAACCCCCATTTTTCACAGATAATTCCTGAATTGTCTCAGAAAATTTCACAAGCCGTCCACAAATACTATTACCAGAAGTTCTATTGTTCCCCAACTACCAACTATTTTTGCAGGGCTGACCCGCTGAAGCTGCCACCCTGGGACTCTTACCATCGGATGCTGGCCCACAGAGTGGCTGCCTACTTTGGCCTGGAGCATAACGTTGACCCAGTGGACAAGTCGTGCGTGGTTGTCTGCAAAGGCCCCCAGACCAGGGTGTAAGTTACTTTTCACCACACACACACACACACTTCCTAGATGATTTTTATGATGCATCCCTTACCTATGCATTTACTTGCTAATAGAACACAATGTTTAGTCCCTGAGTCTTTTTTAACTGCACTCTCCAGTTATATTCGAGATATAACGGGATCGTTGATCTTTATCCCCCCCACTTGCTTATAGAGAAGTGTAGGCCTAATTTCCACATTCTCCCCCAAGGATATTCCACTGCATTCTACAGTTATAGTGATGGTATACAGTATGGTTGTTGGGCCTTACTCTCACATTCTTGCTTTGCTAAAAGTACGAAGGATTTTTAGGCCCAATTATATTATTCCTCCACTCCCCCAGACCCCTTCACCGGTTCTCAGATTTCCTGAGCGTGGATCCAGACTCAGACGCTGCCGAGCCCAAACTCATCCTCAAGAGATCGCCCCGGGAAACCGTCATGCCACTTCACAAGGTCTTACTCTCCCTCTCTCTCTCTCTCCCCCTCTCTCTCCTTCTCCTATTTCTCTCCCCCTCTCTCTCCTCCTATTCTCTCTTCGCCATAAACACACAGTACAGACACCTACATAATTATTTTTAACTCCTTTCTCTTCTAATTTTTCAGTCGTTTGAGGCTCTCGCGGATCTCCCGTTGGACGTGAAAAGTTTCGAAGAGCGAGAGGAGGAGTACGAGAAGACGAGGGCCCGGATATTCAGCCAGCAGCCTCTGCAGGGGAGCCGTTCCAACATTGCCTTTGACCTTGCCAACGCACCACAAAGACCTAGATCCAGGTACGTTGATGGGGGCCTCTTTTTTGTTGAAACCCACGTACATGTAAATTTTCTCTACACACAGTCTCCTGCCAGCCATCATGCAGCATCGTCGGACGGTCAGCGATACTCTCCTATTTCGTCGTCGCTCAGTCCTGGAGGAGTTAAAGAAGGATGGCCCGAGCAGCAGTCACAGCAGCCGGAGTGCCACGCCCCTTATCGCACTCCTCCAGCCGTCTGCCGCACTCCTCCAGTCGTCTGCCGCACTCCTCCAGTCGTCTGCCGCGGGGGAGGGAGGGATAGTGGGACAGTCTATAGTCGGACAGCCGACGGGGTCAAAGGTCACTCCGCAACACAGTCCCCAGCAACAGAAGATATCGCCACGAGAGGTAAAACACTTTCACAATCAGAGTTTGGCTTTTTAGTTTACTGCCCACGAAATTGTTCGCTTTTACACCTATAATATTGTAGTGAAAAAACAGATGCAGTTATAATGTAGATCAATAAAGTGTAGCAGAGCCACATGGATAATGCACATGAATTTAAATATTCAAGCATCAAGATGGAACTTGAAACGTTTACCCTGACTAACAGATTTTGTTCTTGGTGCTCGTTATATAGAACTCTCTCTCTCTCCCACCTCTTCCTCAGTTGCCCAGTTCCCAGACACAGGTGATAAATCAGCAACACGCCCCGATGCGACCGCAGTCGAAATTCCCTCGCCAGAGACCGTCAAATGTCCCCTCGTTTCAGTTTCAGCCGCTCGCCAGTCGAGGCGTCCCCATGTTCTACCCCCAGCAGACGGCCATCATGGCAGACCCCAGTTGGTACTACAACAACATGCTGCTCTATCAGGTGAACTCCAAAACCTTGAGTATCTGAGCCACGTTTTATGGTGTCGTGTTTTGAGGATGTGTACATACATACCTATAAACGCAACAAAATGAGACATTTGGTATTGTGTCTTCGTTACACGTGTCACATTTTGGTATGTTAGGTGTCGCCACAGCAGTTCATCCCAGCCGCAGCGGCAGGAGGCGGAGCCATGCCCTACGGTCAGGTGATCCAGCCCGCCATGTTCCCCATGACACCCCAACAGTACCCCATCTCCCCCGGAGTCACCACATCCCCCATTATCTCTCCCCCGATCTCGACAAGGCCCGGCGGTTTCCCGCTCCACCTGCCGATGATGTCGCCGGGCGGGGCGGTCGCCGAGGGAACCATTCCACCATCTCCACCCCACCACTTCACAGCCTCGGGCGGAGTCACCCTAGTACGTCCCATTGCCCAGGTGGCCACGCCCACTAGGGTGAGCTACATGTATTTGTCCAGGTGGCCATGCCCACTAGGGTGAGCTATACATGTATTTGTCCAGGTGGCCACGCCCACTAGGGTGAGCTATACACGTATTTGTCCAGGTGGCCACGCCCACTAGGGTGAGCTACATGTATTTGTCCAGGTGGCCACGCCCACTAGGGTGAGCTATACATGTATTTGTCCAGGTGGCCACACCCACTGGGGTGAGCTACATGTATTTATCCAGGTGGCCACGCCCACTATGGTGAGCTATACATGTAAGAGCTCATAAGGCAAAATCTGCCGATTTCGGGACAAATTTGCACTGAAAAGAATTTGCATTGAGCATTTAGTAAGACGACTTTCCAGTATAAATTTATACTCATAAATCATCTGTATATACACATTTAAAGATGATGAGACCATTATTGTAGCACTATCATTACAAGAGGAAAAACTGTTCCCAAGTGTTTTCAGTTCCACTGCATTAACATTTCCGTAGTGTACAATCTGTCGTATTCACTTTCAATATTCAAAAGCGGGGTGGAATGTAAATTATCGTGCTGTTTTTGTTTCAATTCCGTCTCTAGGGATCGTTCAAGTTTGACGGATCGCCAACTTCTGCGCTCGTTCAGCCTGGAGCTTACTCTATCGGACAACCTGTGGGCGGAGCCATGTTTGCCGCAGGGGGCGGAGCCACGCAACAGGGCCGGCCACTCATTGCCGGGGGCAACACTGGTGGGCAACTGGCTGAGCACATGGAGCAGTTGTCTTTGGAGGCCAGACGAAGGGAGGGAGGAGGAGAGATGGCTCTTGGTCAAATAGGCGAGGGAAAGAAGCCATTTCCAGGTCACGAACTTGGCAGAAACGGGAAATCTGGACTGGTTGTGAACGGGTCGTTCCCGTCTGGTTACGCGATGATGTCTGCGATCGAGGCAGGCCAGATTATGAGTCCGACGCAGGTCCACCCCTCGGCGCCACTCCAATTTCTCCCCGCCCATCTCCAACACGCTCACATGATCCCCGGGTCCCCTCAGGAGGCTGCACTCATGAGCCCACAGCACGTCCCCCCAGGAACTCCGGGGGGCGTAGTTCATTTCCCGGGCGGCATCCCCTCCCAAAGTCCCAGCGGACCGACGACCCCACCAATCGGTCACATGGGGTTCGCAGCCCCCCTCCCCGCTGGAATGCTATCGACTCAACAACAGAGTATTTTTTCTCCTCCCAGTACCGGCGGAGTTACCCACTCCCCGGTCCAAATTCTTGGGCACACCCTCGGAACGAGTCTTTTCTCTCCACCCCCCTCGAGCTCCGCCCACCCGGGAATGTTCGTTAATTCTCCAACGACGGGGGCGAAAGTAATCGGGTACCCCGCTGGTTCCCCAGCTGCCCCCCACGCTCCGGTGGGATCCGGTCTGAGATTTAAACGGTACGAGTCTCCGAAACAGGGGAACGAGGGGGCCCCTCTATCTCACGCCCAATCAACAAATTCGGGTTTGTCTCAAGTGCAGTTTATATCTGAGAGCCCAATGCCTCAGGCACCTCCACTACAACAATCACAGCAACAGCCGCACAAAGGGAATAACGGAGTTAACGGTGGGAGCGCTGCCGCGATATCCGGTTCGTCTGGTTTCCAGCCGGTTCAGCTGCCTCCGCGACTGGCCAGCCAGCAGCAGGGGGGAGCAGCTGGCCTGCCTCAGAGGAACGCTGGGACGAGATACCAGAACCAGAGACATCCAGCCAACAGAAGCTCTCAGGGTGGAAAGGTATGCACTCCACCAGAAAAACAATGTCTTCACTAAATCTCTTAACTTACGTCAAGTACTGAAAAAATCCCGTGGTATCGTTTCCCTTTGCAATCGATGCACGCTTAATACCAGTGTGCATTAATTGGAGTCCATACTAAGTAAGTTAGGCAGCTTTTGCCTGTTGAAATCCACACACGTTGAACGCCCTCGGGTCCCCTTACACACTGTGTTTACTACTCTCACAATGCAAACCAACGGCCCATGGGCTTACGTGTAGACTTTTTGCTCTATTTGCCGGTGCTAAATGCATCACTCTCTATACGGTCGAAACATAATATATATGAAGAAGAAGGAGAAGAAGAAGATGAACAAAACTCCCTATCATAGCCCAATACATCTATGATGCTAGGTACCATGCCAATCCCTATATACTAAGTACTAGTGTACTTAGTGATATATAGTGAAAGTTGCGTTTATTTCCAAATGTTTGCAGGGTGGAGGAGGGAATGGAAACGGAGGAGGTGGAGGGTTGATCGGTGAGCCGGGACAGTACCTGCAGCTATCTGCGAAGAAGGAGCCTCTGCTGCCCACACCTCCCAATACCCAGATGGTCAAACTGGACACCACTCTCACATGTCAGTGACACAATGATGAACTACTGGTAGCTTTATTAATGAGATGGTACAGGCGGTTTAATATCGCATTTGCATGGGAGAACTACCAATCATGTGTCACTATCGAGGCATTAGAGTGTATGTTTAGCCAAAGAAAGTGTACTTGTGAAATTCTTCGTATTGTCGCAGGTGGTGTTCCACTACACGTGATGGAGATAGTGAGTCTGCCACCTGATGGAACTCCAGAGCGACAACAAGCTTTTCAGGTATCCTTTACACCTTTCACTTTCTCTTTCACTCTCCCTTTCCTTCCACTCCCTCCCCCTCTTCCTTCCTAGCCTTCAACTGTACCTATGTACCTACATGTACTTACTTGTATGAGTAACCTTTGGACGCCATGGGTATCTCCTTAAATAAATAAGCAGAAATTGATGTATGAAGTATTAGCGCCTAGTATTATGACCCCATATAAATTCTTATGGACTTGTGGAGGCCCATTTATGTGTCCGTGGCTGGTTAAGTGTTAAAATCGACGACTACTTAGTCAATCTTCTTCCCTCCTTCCTTAACTCTCCTCCTCTCCCTCCTCTCCTCCCTCTCTACCTCCATTCAGATGCTGAGAGAGTTGGGAGCCCTAGACATAAAGGGGGGCAGAATCAACAAAACGGGCGAAGAAGTACTAATCGCGTCGTTCCCGTCTCCCGAACTCGCCATCAAAGCCCTTCAGATGCATAACATGCCGTTCACTCTCTCCATCCCGCGAAGTAATCACGCGAAATTCATTCTCTCCCTCATTCAGCCTCAGTCCATTCAGTAGAACACCTCCTCTGTGTGCAGGAGGAGGAACCCACACATCAGATCCACTTTCGTCCGTCCGTCCGTCCGGCCCTCTTCCCCCTCTCCCGTTTCAGATTAGATCGTTATCTAAACTGGTCCCATATTTTTTTATATACCTCAATAAAATACGCATGCACGCGTAATACACACACACACACGTGCAGTCTCTCTGCGTAATCGTTTCCCCCAAAAGAGTGCACAATTGTATAGTTTAATTTTAGTCGATGTGTAAAGTTTTAGTTCTATTGTTTCGAGATAAACTTGTGTGTACTGTCTCCCATTCATTTGCTCTGTACAGTATATTTTAATGATGTCACACAACATTCACAGTTGAAAGTTTGCAAGCAGGTTGACGCTAGGACGGTTAAATCGTCCATCATTATGCACACAAAAGACAGTTTCTTTTCAATCGATTCAGCTACACGGAAAGTTTGTGTCACATTGTATAATATGTGTCCTATATAGGTGGTGCAGTAATATTAACGATGTCATAGCATTCACAGAATGATGTCACATTCACAGTTGAAAGTTTGCAAGCAAGTACACGGAAAGTTGGTGTCACATTGTATGTGTCCTAGGTGGTGCAGTAGATATATTCTCTGCACAGTATTTTAACGATGTCATAGCATTCACAGAATGATGTCACATTCACAGTTGAAAGTTTGCAAGCAAGTACACGGAAAGATGGTGTCACATTGTATAATATGTGTCCTAGGTGATGCAGTAAATATATTCTCTGCACAGTATTTTAACGATGTCATAGCATTCACAGAATGATGTCATAGCATTCACAGTTGAAAGCAAGTACAGTATATACACGGAATGGTGTTGGTATTACAATAGTAGGTGGCGCAGGCTAAACGTGTCCTAGGCGGCACAAAACTTATATGCTCTGTAATGATGTCACAACGTTCACAGTTGAAATTTTGCTGGCAGTACACGGGAAAAACCATTGGTGTTATGTACATATATACACAATATTGATGGTGTCCTAGGTGGCGCAAGGCTCCATTTCTTGTTCGAATTTGACTATGATGGCGACTGGCTTGGGTGTAGTGGCGTCGGCCACTACGATGTGGTGGCCATCCAACACTCCTAGATCTGCAGAGTTTAGTCACACACATTATAGTCATCTAATATGTATAATATAATAATGCCGAGTTGAGGAAACTAGAAAAAGGTTATTGAGTTTAGTTTCGTGGATTTTGGACTCAAGCGCACAAATTTAGTGCCCTGAAAATTTGGAGCTATAATATTCAGTAACTAACTTACTAAAAGGAATTGGAAATGGTTCTCAAATATGTACTAACCAGTTAGTTTCTGTTGGAGGTTGGGTCGTGTCGCCCTCTCAACTGCATCTAGGGTCTAAACCAGAACATTTTGAAAGGGGCCAAAAAATCAGACCGAGAAACTCACTTACTGGCATGTAAAGGGTCTTATTCTTGCCATCAATAACTGTAGTAATGCTTGGAGCCTTCATCAAGCTGCGTTGAATAAGAGTTTTTGAGAGAAAGTTTCTTTGATTGCTCTAAAAAATCTCTTATGTACACCTCTGGTTAAAACCTTATCTGGTTCCTTATAAAATAAAAAAAATTTTATGCCTGCTAAAAATGTTCAACCTGACTGGTCTAAAACTCTTCTTGCCGTGGTTGCTAAAAATGTTCAACCTGACTGGTCTAAAACTCTTCTTGCCGTGGTTGCTAAAAAATGTTCAACCTGACTGGTCTAAAACTCTTGCCATGGCTGCTAAAAATAGTTGACTGATCTCTTGCCGTGGCTGCTAAAAATAGTTGACTGATCTAAAGCTCTTCTTGCCGTGGCTGCTAAAAATAGTTGACTGATCTAAAACTCTTCTTGTCGTGGCTGCTAAAAATAGTTGACTGATCTAAAACTCTTCTTGCCATGGCTGCTAAAAACAGTTGACTGATCTAAAACTCTTCTTGTCGTGGTTGCTCACAATTTTTGGTTCTCCTTGAGGTAGTCGTAGAGTTGCTGCAGCGTGGTGTCGGTGGTGAACGTGAGTGAGATGGGTTTAGTGGAGCAGGAAATACAGTCCTCCTTCCTCTCGGCCTCAAAGGTGTAGGTGTAGACTCCGTCTGTGTCGTTGAACACCATGAAGTTCTGCAGCGGCTTGCTGCAACTGTTTGGAAGAGTATCTAGCTAAAATTTCTGGGGAGAAGGTGGTTTAATCAAAACCCTTTGGACGCCATGGGGATCTGCTAAAATAAGCAGAAATTGATGGAGAAGGTGGTTTAACCCATTGGACGCCATGGGGATCTGCTTAAATAAGCAGAAACTGATGTATAAAGTATTAGCGCCTAGTATTATAACCCCCATATAAATTCTTATGGACTTATGGAGGCTCTGGACACATTTCATGTGTCGGTGGCTGGTTAAGTGTTAAAGGTATGAGAACCAATGCAAAAGTTTAATAAAATTTTGTGGGACAATTAATTTTATGACAAAATAGAGTTACATTGCACGTAATAATGTAATAGATTTTGTTAACAGTATAATTATAGTAACATACACACCTTGTTGCCAGCTTGAAGACTTCAGTAGCACACACAGCTATGATATATATATGAAAGTGAAACATGAAAATCTCAAATGTATGGGCATAATGCAGGATGTCATCCCTATAATATACCAAGTACTACCGTACTTGTGATAGTAGTAGAGAAACATAATCATGAACTTGTGCAAATGACACAGTACTGTAGTCTTACCAGCAATGACTGCATTAGTCGAGGCTACAGCTGGTATGATCCGCTTCACCACACCTGTTGACAGAATTCGTTTGGTAGCAAGGAGTATATGCCACGATTGTGTGACTCGCATTCACTCGCAGAAAGTGTGTGGGTTTTGATCTAGTATATTATCGACCTTTGGCAAGTCTGTAGGTGACCCCCTGAATCCCATACTCTCTTGCCCGTCCCTGGGCCTTCTCAAACACCCACTGCATGTGATCTGGATTATCGCCATCCAGTGATACCCCCTCTTGGGAGAGAGGAGGAGGGCGAGAGAAGAGGAGGGAGGAGAGGAGAAGAGGAGAGAGAGAGAGAGAAGGAGCAGGAGGGGGAGAGGGAGAGAGGAGGGAGAGAGAGAGAGAGAGGAGGAAGAGGAGGAGGGAGTGCAGGGGAGGAAGAGAAGGAGGAGGGGAGAGAGAGTGACAAAACATCCCAACTTCCATTATTATCACTATTATATGACGTACTCAAAAGGTTTTTCTTTTGTCCAAAGTAGAATATTGACATACTCAACACAGTGCTCGGGGAGGCGTGGTTTCGAGGCTATCGTACACAACGGATAGTTGACCTTCAAAAAAAAGAAGACACAAAGGAAAATTTTACCGTTTTTTTAACTTTACGGTGGATTTTTTACTTGAGGAGGGTAAAGGTCGAGAGTGCAGTCCACGCAGGGTGATAGTCCAGGGAGAATGACCCTTGCATTCCCCTTGAATCCTGTATACATTCAGTTAACCGACACGAATAGAAAAAAAACAAGTGTCCTTTATTCAGTATCATTATTGGAGGTTCTAGAGTACTACAAGTCTACCTTCTGTTCCGCCATCAAGCAACCTCCTGTATAATGGCTTAGACTGGCTCAAGGTCACCGTTTTTCCATCGACATCCGCGGCCCCGTACACGGTCCCATGATGACTGAATCATTACCTCTCCTCTCGCTCTTTTATCCGTACCACCCTTCCGTTGCTCCATCTCCTCACGCAACTCTTGAGTCGAGTCCACCCACCCTGATGTGGCCTTCTGCAACGGCTCCTCCGCACGGTTAAGCGGTGGTCCGCTGTCGGCTTTTTTGAGCCGGTTACAGGGGTAAGAGCATCCCCTCGGCGGCAAGGGTTCGTTTTACGGGTTACGGTTACGCGCCGGAGACCAGAGAAAGGGGTTAAGAGCCACCAAACCTGCGACCGAGAGGGACCCGAAAACGGGGGAAGGAACCGGAGTGAGAAAGGGTCTCTTTAAAGGGAGTAAGAGTAGGAGATTGTTTCTTTCCCCCAAAAGGGTTAAATGGGTAGAACAGGAGAGAAAGGGGCAAATAGTAAAACGACAGCTAAGAGTAGGAGAGAAGGGTTTAAAGGGGGTAGGAGCAGGGGAAAGGGTTTTAAAACATATATGGCTGCCCGAGTAACGGGAAAGTGAGAAGAGGTATTAATAAGTTCTTACGCTTTGACTAGCAGTCCATGTCAAAGTCTGAATCATTTGCCCCAACAGTGACTAAGATGTATTGCAGTTAGAAAGAAGAATGGATTATGTGCACTTATATCGAATGACACAAGAAAATGGCAATGTAGTGAGAGCAACAAAGAGAGAGAAGAGAGAGAAGATGCTGAAGGATACGGAGTAGCACCCCAGTAAACATTACAAGAACGGACACTCGATAGTTGCTTTTTTGATGAAGGATGGCCGGCAAACTCTTCAGCCTGGGGAAAACCTCTTCCAATGTCATCGTCACTACATACACACCACCCACAAATAAAGAGAGCAGTGTACAATACATACAGTGGAAAAGGGATTACAAGCAGAAAAGTTTCAGGAAGGCCAAATTTTCAATTAATGCAACCTACAACCCAATCACGACACCCATATTTGTGAAATGTTATGCATGAGGTAAGGCACAAGAGGAGATGGGAAAGCGTGTGTCTAATATCTTGAGGGTATTCTATTGGCCTCACGTGAATAGAAAACTGCGCGGTTTGAGATTTGACGCATGGTCAATGGTGTCCATATCAATCACGTCTATCTGGTGAAACCCATCATAGCCTGGGCAACCAGAATTGGCAATCGAATAGACTAGCAAGCGATTAGGGGCGGTGATTATACATGATACAGGAAGAAGGAAGGAGATAAAACGTAAAGAGGTCAGGAAGGAGTGCAGACGAGAGACGTGTACTAGACCACAGTACTAAGTCTTTCGTAGCTCACAGCCAAGACCACAGCCTCCATATCAACAAGCCCTTGCATCCCCCTTGACTCCCTCAGGAACTGAATCTGTGTATTATACAGGACACGGACAGAAAGGTTGAGCAAAGTACCAAAGAGAAGGAGACGTGTAGCACGTGCGCTAGCTAAAGAAGGGGGACCTGTTCACTGGGGTAAAATGTCAGGGACCTGTGAGAGCGGCGCGACCACGAGCTCAGCCGCTTATGCACGTCTCTCCCAGCGACCCATCTCCGTTCTCCGCACCTACGTCGTCTCCATCGCGTGAGCACAGGCGGCCCCCTCAGCTCCTCAGTTGGTGCACTCGCACTTCGGCGAGTAGCCCGGTTCTTGGTGCAGTTTGAACGTCGAACTCCTAGTAAGCTTAGGACAGACGCACTGGATCGACTCTTCTTGTGCTCCCTTGAGGCCAGCCTTGGCCGCCTGTGTTTCCTCTCCAGTGCTAAAGAGGACTAAAGCAGGTCTCTCGCTGTAACTTAAAACAGACTGACTGGCCCCAATGTCGACAATCAGAAACAACTGTGCCCGAAAAGACCACCCTTGAGAGAACCACGATAGGAACTTTGCACTGCGATGAGGTCTAATGACATATCCACTATATGCTACGGGACAAATAAGATTGTCTTGAGGTGCAGCATGTTACATGGAAGAACAAAGTAAAGAAGTGTTACCAGACTTTCAGAGAGCTTAGAATTGTGAGAACTCGAAAAGAGGAGCTTCTAGAGACGTGTCCCCTCTTTTTTTGACAAATAGTAGTAGTGATGTGGGCGGAGTTTACGAATCCAGTTAAAAACATACGCCTCATGACCACCATTCAAAGGTATCACTAAGAACGGTCAGTACTTTAGTATTAGGGATTGCATAACACGGTACCCTAGCTATCATAGCTGCCTGGAGCTATGATAGGATGTAAATAATTACATCTATGTGTCCGCGAACTTTATTGTCAAGCAAAATCTATGTCCTACATAGATAAATGCTAATTATTCATGCAGCTTGCAGATAGAATATCTGACATGTATATAATATATGTTGATCTCTGTAATTTATGCGCCGAGTAGATAACACTATTTGCATCGCGCCTCAGCTGTGTTATTGCATTCATGCGCATTCAATTGGTTGGCCCACATTTAGTTTTATCATTGTGTGCAGTACTGCTGCAGTGATCTGCGCTTACGGATTTACAGACACAATTTGAAATGAGTCAGTACATAGACAGTGAAACACGTAGATAATACGGGAAGCGAAGGTGCGTACCAACGAAAATTTTGGCAGAGCAAGTCCATGGCAGTTGCTAGCGCAATAATGGACATGTAACCCCCCCCCCCCCCCATAAAATGTACACCTATCATCCAGTTGAGTCACCGAGGGTGCTCTCAAATAACTCTGAGGTGGACCACGTGATATAATATCGATGGATCTCTGATGATATAGTCAAGTGTATCATCGTGACGAATTCCGTATCGTCTTATTGTACAGAGAGAAGCAGTGAGGAGAATTGATTTTACCATTCTGCCAGCCTTACAACAGCGAAAATAGCATAATGCCTATATTTCTGACCAAGACAGGTTCGATATGTAGATAACTATATATTGCACTACGAGGAATGATACTTATGTATATTTCATCGATGAGTTCATATGTTCTCTGATCGTCTCAAATGTCCTGAGAGAATCAGTCGCCACGGGAGACTCTTCCAGTGCTAGTTATGACGATACAGTCGTATGAGTTCTCTATCGTGTAGTAGCGAGTTCATTGGATGAGACTCGCATTAGCGTGCGGTAGGGGGTAGATAATGGGGCAATACACACGCAGCACCCGAACTGGGGCAGCAATGGTAGGCAGAGACTATACTTGTATGATGATTGGACACTTGATGCCCCCCCCTTTTTGTTTTTTGCGTAACAGTACGTTCCCGTTGGTTACGTGTTGCCGTAATGAGAGCGCAGTCACTAAAGGGTGACCTTACGGTCACGAATGTGCCGATGATGCTGTGTGACTGTTCGACGCTGCGACGATGCTTGCAGTTCTATGTTAATAGAGGACTCTAGGTCTACTAGTGACTGAATCCTGATGATGATCACAGGGATGCTCTTTACGTTGAAAGTATGGAACTCGTCTTGACTAGTATACCTTGTGATGTGTTTATGCAATAAAGTACTATTAGCCATACTATATAGTAATGAGTTGATATGGTCGTGCATGCCCATTGCCACTCACTCATAGCATTGTGTGCCTGTTGGCTCAGTAAAGTTGTCAGATGCTGTACTTCTACGCACCGTTGGGAAGAGCAGTAGTTATGCAGAGTGCACGATTAATACCTGCGACTATGAATAGAGGATGATCTGCACTCTGCAGTGAGTAATCGATCTAGGCCATGGTAGCGCAGACACCTTTATACTACATTTCGTATGCCTTAGTTGTTACCAATACTACAGTGGCACACCTATCGCACGACATGACAGCGACTATGCTTGCACACACATATATCAATCTCTCATGCCCCACTCTACGTGCTCCTCGTGCTCTCACTCACCGTACTCGTTGTAAGTTGTGTTCTGTAGCTGCCGCACTAAAGCTCTTGTTGGTCAGAGAGCACGTTTTTTCAGTGCATCCTCCGCAAAATTAATTCCCTCTCAGAAATAAAAGTGAATCGGTACGTATACCTAGGA